GACTGCATGACTTGTATAAATTCTTGTTCATTCACTCTCATGTAAGTTCAGTTCTGTAAGTGGGAAGAGAAAGTACTTTTTGGCCCTTCACTATAGTTTGTTTTGTCAACCTCCAGATTGGCAAGCTTCTGTAGCAGGGAGCTTGCTATACTGTAATTGTGTAAGCTCCTCTCATGATCTTGAATAGGTAAGGAAGTTCTGCCATCCAGCTGTTGCTAAACTATAATTTGCAGCAGATTTTATCACACTGAGAGTTGTAATTCAGTCACATCTGAAAAGCTGTAGATTCTCCATCTTGATGTAGAGACCTGGGCAAGGAGTCTTCATGAATATAGTAGCTTCCACTGCATCTACCCAGCCTCCAATATATGAGGGTCACAAGGATATACCATTAAGAAGGGGCAGACAAGTAATATACACTAGTTGCCAGGTGGCTATGGAATTGTTAAAGAGGCATCATATTCCTTCCTTATAGGATTGCCTAGAGAAGTATATTGTTTACACCACAATATGATACCATGATGAGACTTTTGAAGGTGCCACTTTCAGACTGTATGTACCACTGATGAATATTTCGTTTCTAGTGAGTGCTGAAAAAAACCACTTAAAATGCAAGTGATTAGAGTTGAGATTCTCCCCAATCTGTGTTAATCTGTAATATGAATATGTAAATGTTAATTAATACATTAATATGTAACACAATTGAAGTTTATAAACCTTGTGGCTCTAAATATAGGGTTGAACTACGTTGAGATTGTCTAGTGAAGTTTCAGAAGCTGACGGTCTGCCTCAGTAAAATTTGGGATAGGAGTGCAAACAGGTTATTTGTTCAGTGTTTCAGAAGTAGCAAAGTGAACCAGAACTGGTCAAAACTGCATAATTTATATATCTCTGAGAACAAAGTTTCTTTATGCCAAATTTAGGTTATCCTGTGTTGAATCAGAAATAGTCCTTTTCTTAGCTTCATGCTTTGTTTGTCTTTGCATTGGTTCATGCTTACTAAGAGTACTGCTTAAGAACCCTTCACTTAATAACACACTTTTCTGATCAGGAACACTGCTCTTTTAAAAACCTCTCTACACTAGAGCTAATTTTTATGCTTGATTCTACCTGAGTTGCTCTAAAATGGATAGATGTTCCCCAGCCATAGCTTTGTTTTTCCTAAAGAACAATGAAAATTGGGGGCCCTAAATATTTCTCAGCACTTCCATTGTCGTTACACACGAATGTTAATGAAGCCAGTTCTCCTGCCAGGTTTTGTTCAAGCAAAATCAAATGCCAGCAGAAGGGCCTAATGTGCGTCTATGTCAACATACCAAGCTGATTGCACAGCCAGGAGCCTGGCCACTTGCTGAAAAGGCCTGACCCACTCTTTTGAGAAGCACTGGCTTGCATTAATGGCTCAATAAAATTATGGAAGCTTTTATTTTTAAGTTATTGGTGTAACAGCCTGGATTTGATGCCTTAAGCAATTTGCTCTCAGAACTGAAAGCTAGAGAATTGCATCTTAATTTGTGCCAGGGCCAAAATACAAAGATGGAAGCGGCTTTCTGTGCCATATTGTCCAACTGCTTACTCAGTGCAGGAAATTAAGATTTAGAGTGTACCCCCAAATCCAAACAGTATAGTCACTGACTGGAGACACACAGAGAAAAAGCACCATAATGCTTTGGATATTTGGAATCATCAAGGCCGTTCTCCTAATATTCTAATTCAAACAACCTCTGTTTCTTTCTTTTTTTAAAAAAATAGTCTTATAGAAGCAGCTCTTAAGACTAAATACAGTAATAATCTCTGAAAGCTGTATAAAACACTAAATTAAAACCATCAACTGGCAGATGTTAAAACAGCAGATAACGAACGTGGTTAACTTACCACGATATGAGGGGGTGCTATTGAATACAGTGAGCTTGCCTCTCAGTAAATATGTAATATATTGTGAGGCTAGGCAGTCTATTCCTTCAAAGCTGTAGAACATTTTTAAAATTTTAACCATATGAGATTCAGGATGGCTTACACACTAATCATACTGGATTTTGTTTTCTTTCTTGAGAAAAGGAAAGCTGATTTCAGGTAGCATCTAAATGCTACCACTGAGCCTTCTTCCTGAACTTAAGTGACCGTCTTATGGATTGGTTATTTTCTTTTGGTTCTGAAGCATTGGCTACCTGTTAAGGTTGAACTGTAGGAATGTTTTAAATGTATTTCTGAAGATGGAGTTACACAGATAAGTATCTCCAGTGAAGAACTTGGCAATCTTTAAGGAATCAGGCATTTCAGGAACCCAGATTTGGAACTCCCTAAATTGGTTAGGATTACATTTCCTACAGTATCTGAGCCACCCTGTAAGATACCAGGTTGTGGAAAACTGAATTGAGGCTTTAGAGATCCAACACTGCCTTTTGAATTATGATTGAGACAATCTGACAACCATTGTTGATCTTTTCATTGCGAGCAAGATATAGTTGATCTCTCTTCCCCAAATCCTAACATCTCTTGTATCAGCTGATCGTTCCGAACAGTTCTCATTAATAGGAAATGTAGAGGATCCATCCACTTATGCTGTATCTAATTCTATTTAAAAAATGTAGTCCTGCCTGCTGTGGTCCTTATCATCTCTTCTGAAGCCTCATAAACACTGGATGACCAGTTCAAAGCCAGGTCAGCCAAATGGGGAATCTCAGCAGCTGATGGTTTTCACAGCAGTGGAAATCTTCATCTTTTCAGCTTGGTTTCGGAGCTGGCTGGGGAGCACCAGAGAGGGGAAGAGTTCATGGGCCTTGCACAGAGTCGTTAGAAGCAGGACTCTGAACTTGGCTATCTGAAGATAAGCTCACAACACTGAGGTATTCCTGGCTCCGACCTGCTTGCTGCTGCTAATTTCATGCCCTGTGATCCAGGTAATGCTCTAGTGCTTGCTTCGTCACCCAAGGCTTCAGCTCCTTTTTTTAGCTCAGCAGGAGCCCAGAGCTGCCTCTGCTGCTGAATTTAAGCTGACTAAAAAGCTACTTTGCCAAAGCATCTGGGCAGGACAAGGCTGGCTTTTCGTGGAAACCAACAGTATTTCCTTTTCTGTCTGGGGAAGACAAACATAGGTGCAGTTAAATATCCAGTATTATTACCTGTACAGAGATATTGTTCTGTTTGGATGAAGAAGCAATTAAGTACTAATAGGCCATTCCATTACCGTTATCCTTATAATACTGTAGATTTTGTTTTGAGTGCTAGTCACTGACAGTTTGGAGGGCTGATGTAAGCATTGTTTCTTGGGGAAAGATGATTGAGCCAGCTTCTTTGCAGTTTTCCCAAGCAAACTTTGCACACCGTATTCACATCAGGATTTTGCATGTTCTTGTCCTTCTCAGTGAAGGAAGGGGAATCTGAGAGAATGAAGCAACAGGGCTTGTGATGGCTCTCTTGATTTGTAGGCCTCCCAGGTAATTTATTTATTTACTTCCTATAAATAAGTCAGTGCAAGTTACTAGCACAGAAAAGTATTTACTGGACTGTCTGAATCATAATGCACCAATGTTAGGGATCTATGAGATGCCAAAGGCCTGAAGAAGAGAAGCTTTCCCCAATCCTTGAAAAGCTTCCTTGCCTAAAAAAGCAAGGAAGCTTTTATAAACAGATCTTCAGCATACTTCAGAATGCTGCCACAGATTCTGGTGGGTGCAAGCAGACTCATTTTTGTGAATGTCAGCATCTTTTCAGCCCTATCTTACTAGTCACACGTGCTAGAACTGGACTACTTCTAAATGGTGACTGACAGCCAAACACCATATTCAGTTTAATTGGCAGCATGGGAGCGCATAACCTTTTTCAGGATGAGAGCCATACTAGGACTTGATGGAGAATACCTGGAAGGAAGGTGAGGAAGATCAGATAAAAAGTTAAGTATAATTTAATATAATGTTAACGAAATGCATTTAAAATGATTGATCCCCTTGGATTCATATTACATATAAGATTAGAAATGATCATTTGACAGCAATTGTCCTTGGTCTCTGAGACAGTCTTCAAAGTTTGGAGAAGTCCCAGATTGTACACTCTATAGGTGTCTATTGCTTTTTTTTGCCCTTTTCTGTTACAAGAGCTCCAAATGTTATTGAGATCTGCAGCCCTTGGAGATGGGAAGTTTACCCTTTCCCTTCCCATTCTCCCCATTATAGCAAGAGTGGAGCCCAGTTCGAAGGGGAGATTCATTCATTCATTCATTCATTCATTCATTCATTCATTCATTCATTCATTCAATTTATAGTTCGCCCAACTCTCAACCACTCCAGGCAGCTTTACCTTCTGGTAATGGTCACATAAGGGGACTTTTGCAGGGAGGGAGTCATGGCTGAGGTGAGAAGGGTTATATCTCTCTTCTCAATACAATGTAATCTTCATGATAGTCAGATGGACACATCTGTAATGAAATTAAGAAAAACAAAAGGCATTACTGCATGTTTGCCTCTGGGAGTCATAAGACACTGAATTATGTGCATTGCACTACTGTCTGTGATGTTTGATTCTGTTGGAGAATATAGTCCTGGATGCAGCTTCAACACTCCCTGGAGCAAATGTAAGTTCATCCCAAACTTAAAGTATGAGGCTTCTCTAAGCCGTTAGCAGCAGTTTTTGTCTCATCTGTAGGCAGTCATTGTAGCCTCAATGCTGGGTTCTTATAGTGTACCTTACTGGTAATGGGGGTGAGAGGTTCTCTTTCCTCATTTGTGTTTTAGACAGTCATATGAGTAACTTTGCCTGTTAAGAATTACTTTGATGTAGCAGATGTGCTTTTCAGCTAAACGACCTAGAGGCTGGAGATGTGTTCAGATTGCAACCTCTACAGTCCTGTGAGTTTCAAAATGCCATGAAAATGTGACCTGGGGTCCTAGGATCTCAGTGTCTTTGATTTGTGACAGAGAGATCTGGGGACAGGTCATGTCCTTGTTCTTTGGGCAGCATAGTTTTTAAAACTCTGTTTTGATGCTTGTTGTTTTTTTCCCTAGAATTTCTTTGAAAGTTACATTTCTGTGGCTTCCACTGTGCCTTCTGTCCTGAGCTTGATTGGGAACTTCCTGCTAGTCAACAAGTAAGTGTGATTGCATGAGTCGCCCTACTTTCTCTCCTCCCCCTCTGCCCTCCCTCTTTCAGCCCTGGCCATGCCATATCTCTCCCCAGGCTGCAGCATTAACACAGCAGTGATTCAAAAGTCAAGCTAAAAACTCTTGATGGGCAAATGGGCTTAATCAGAAAATCCTCTACAGCAAAACTTCTCAAAGTCATAGCGTGTTATCTACTTTTGTCCTAAATTAAGACAGACAATAATCCAAAATTGTTTAGATGATAACTTTTACTAGGTTTTTGAAGGCTGCTCCAAACAGATGTTCTCCAAGTAGACTACAATTCATCATGCTGGGCAATACCAGTAGGAAGGGTTGTTAAATGTATGGAAAAGATGAGAATCAGCAAGGACTTAACAAAGAAGGCAGTGGCCTCAAATTCAGCCACTATCTGTTGGGTAAAGAGGAAGGAGACAAAGGAAGGAACTGTGGTCAAGATCTCCTGACAGACTTAGCTGTCAGCAGTGAAATGAAAGTCAAGAAAGGCTTGATTGCTGGTTCAAATAGCAGTGAACTATTTGAAGACAGCAGGGTTTCTGGTTGAGCAGTTTGTCCCTCTGATATGCAAAATAAAAGTAGGTCACTGTTTTCGAAGGGGAAGATGGATGGAATGATCAGGATTTCTCTGCTATCATTGTTTCTGCATGATCTTTGTGTTTTACAGCTGGAGGGAGGGGACACTGTTTAGGGAATATACAGCACAGGAAAAGAGATGTGAAAAATGGGAAGTACAGAAATCATATACTTCAAATGTTGGAGGTGCTCTTAGAATTGAGAATCCTATACCCAGTGCCCAAACCCTGTTTTGCATTTCTTCACTTGTTCTTTTAAGACAGAATGCTCTGACACCACCGACTTACATTTTGGCCTGAGAATGCTTGCCTGATCAAAAATGTAACCCAAACACCACCTTTTGAAAGGTCTCTATGTGCTTAGGTGTGTTCTAAAGAGAGGATGGATCATTTAGGTGACAAAATCTTGGGAATGGGTAGATGATCCCAAGGCATGTTAGTTTTCTACTTAAACATGATAGAAAAGGATAGAGGCTTTGAGGGGTGGGAAGGTTTCCAATCTATTTCAATTTAAAGCCAGTCATTTTCCCGCAGCGCTGCTTGTTCCCAGGTCTAAAACTCTGGAGTTGTAGGTAATTATAATTCAGAACATATCCAGGGCACTGGGTTCAAAGAAGTTGCGATTAAAAGAATCATTTTTGCAAATCCTTTCTTTAAATTAGTGTTTCTCAACCTTGGCAACTTTAAGAGGTGTGGACTTCAACTCCCAGAAT